AAGATCTTTTCGTCTCTTAGTTGTTAAGTTATGAAGTCCATATAAGAGTGACCTCCGATATGTGGTAAGGCATTCTTATTTTCGGAACATGAACAATCTTATGTTCTCCTCTCCCTTGTAATCTTTTCTCAAGAAATAAGATAAAACTTTTTATAAAATTGTCTTTACACTAAGAAAAGAAAAAGAGAACCTTTAAGGTTCCAAAACTTAGAACATTAAGATCTAAACCCAGGTCCAGTAAGGGTCAGAAAGAAACCAAAGGCAACAGCCTGCATAATCTCTGGAGTTCCTGGAGGCTAAAGCTCGACGGAATAAGTCCCGGTGGTGGCAGTAAAGCGTCTTGAAGCATAGCTTGGAATTGAGATAAAAATGCAGTGGCGAAAGTTAGCCGTGGTGGACCCATCAACAGAACAAACTGGAAGGAAAGGGTATTGATGCCCAGGAACAGATAAACTTCAGAAGAAGTCAGGTATGACGATTCTAAAACCTTTAGAATAAATGGAAGAAATTTTTGAAATTTCAAAAAATATATGTAAAAAACCAGTTCAACTAGATATTTATTCAAATATAAAATATTTAGAACATAAGCTTTTGGAGAAAATGAAAAAAGAAGCTATTGAAAAATTAGAAGAACTTCTTACAGGAAATTCCTGTATTGAAGAAGACATTAGGATGTATAAAAACTGTGATTGTCATTATGGTGATATATATCCCGGAATTAAAAAACAAAATGAAAAGCTCAAAGCTACAATACAGTTTCTGAAAGAAACAAAGTTTGGACGCTAACCGAAGCGAGAATCGGACAAATATTAGGAGCACTTTCCTTATATTTCCGCAGAAAAGAAACTAAGATCTCAGAAAATGAGTTTGAAAAACTCTAAAAGGAAGGTACCCCTATAAACTGGTATCAGAGCCTGGTAGCAGGCAAGAAATACTAAACCAAAATGCCAGGAATAGACTGGTTAAATGCCTTCTTAGCCAGAAGAAAAACTATAGAAAAAATAATTGACGAAATGGAAAATAGGATAACTCTTTCTGGAAGAGAAAATATTGAATTACAGTGGTATAAAGAAAAAACTAAAAATTTAAATATAGGAATACAAATCCTGGAAAATAATGCTAGAACTAACTCTAGAGTAGAAGAAGAATTCTTTACACAATGTTTAGATCCTTGGAGGTACAGAGAATAATTAAATGGAAAATAATCAATTAGATTATTTCTCAAAACAAGAAACGTCAGGATATTTCGTAGAAGCCCTGATAGATGCTAAAAAACTTGGAAAAGTTGAACACGATTTAAATAAAGAACACAATTTCTCAAAAGAAAAAGTGTTTAAAAGGATTAATAACTTAATCCTAAGAAAAAATGAAATATTCTTTGGTATTATTGCTGGAGAAGAAGCAATTGATACAGACCAAACACAAGGAAATGTAATCATACCTGTAATTTGTAAAAAACAAATTTATAAAAATTTAAAACAGATAAAATCTGAAGTTAGAAATAAAATAGCATATATACATGTATCAACAATACAAATGATATTAAAAAGCACGTTTAGCTTAGGGATAGATACACCTATGCTAATCAGACTAGAAGATAATAGGATGATAAACAAGTCTGATGCACTTGTTGCAGAAGGACAAGGAAACTTGAAATATGGAAAAATCAAGTTTAATCTTAATTATCAAGTAGGAATGTCATTATTAGACAATAATCTTGATGAATCCATCACTCTGTGTTGGAAAATGTTGAGAAATAAGTTAATGAAAAAGGGAAACCACCCTTTCTCAGTAACCTGGAGAATAAATTATGCATTAACCAATAGTCATCATAGTTTGTCATTCAAACCTCATGATAAAATTGAAATTGACGAGTTATTCTCACCCATATTACATTTGGAAGCTCCTAAAAGAAATTTTCAAATACAAAGAATTGAGTCTATGACTAGACCCAGTATAGACTATATTATTCCCAAAAAGAATAATGAAGAAGAAGAAACTAGTTCTTCAAGAAATAATACTGCTGAAGTAATCATAAAACCCAACAACAAAATATATAAAATTGAACAAAAAGTTCAAGAAATAAGTAAAGAATTAGGACTTAATAATGAGTTCTAAATAGTATACTAATTAATGTTTAAAAGTTTTTACCCAAAGTCTGAAAAAAGTTAGAACAACAAAAATAAAAAATGAGCACAAGAAAAATCTATTTTGATATAGAATGGGAAATTCAAAATATTAAAATGGAAATAACAAGGTATATTTATTTACATGAAATTACAAATTTAGAATTTTATTATGACATTATGAAGATATGCGAAAAACAATTAAACAGATTAATAATTTTACAAAAACAAGTAACAGTTGCATAAGAAATAAAAAGGAGTAAAGGGCATTATGGGAATAATTGAAGTCTTACAAGTGGGAGGGAGTAAAGTGGAAGAAAATTAGACATAGGGACTGAAATGGAAGTTAAAAAAGGGTCTAGGGATTTTTAAAGAAGTGTCCCTTAATTTTTTTATATCCAATATTTAATTTAATAAAAATACAGATAATTTATCATAAAAAATAATTCCTAAATTAGATAAAATAAAATAAATTTATCCAGGAAGTATATAAAGAACAACGCATAATGAATCTTTCCCAGAATGTGAAGTTCTTGTCAATTGTGAGTTGTGGCATCACCTGCTTCACAAGTTCATACTCACAATGAAGTTCTTGTCAATTATGAGTAGCGATGATTAAGCTGCCACCGAAGATTGTGGGAGAATTTTGTATTGACACATATGTTCATGCCCATTATCTAGAGTGGGTGTATTCCATTGGATTGGGTGGAATTTGGGGGAGGACTCTGGTAGTTAAGACTACTATGTTTATAAAATTAATAGAGTGCTCATAGTTTATAAGTAAATTTTGAGCTTTTAATTGATATTTTATGATTTATTGTTAAAAAATTAGGTTATAAGATAAAAGTATTCGGTAGATTATCTCATAAGCCAGCTGGACTAAAACTTTCAACAGACTTATTTTGCAGGTTTTTAGACGCCCATCTCTCCTCAGCGCTTTGGGTAGACTCACGCCAAATAGACTGGACAAGTTGCACGCCACCTCATCGCTTTGCACCATCTCCACTGCCGCCTGTCCAGCATCCACGCCCCAGAGTTGTTGTTTGGCTGAGACCCGAGCCTCCTTGGGTTAAGCTAAACACTGACGGATCCTTTAACCGACTTATCGGAGCTGCCGGAGGTGGGGGCCTGATTAGGGACCATAGCGGTGCTTTTATTACCGCTTTCCATGCCCCTCTTCGGGCCTTCTCGAGCTATGATGCAGAGGTTCAGGCGCTTCAGATCGGGCTACAGATTGCTGTCTCGATCTCCACTGACATTTGGATAGACTTCGACGCTACCGCTGTCATCACTCTCTTGACCTCTGGCCATCAGGGCACGTGGCAGATTAAACATCCTCTCATGCGTATTAGAGCCACACTTCGGTCGATTCGCTTTCGGATCTCGCACATCTTCCGCGAGAGGAACCGACCTGTTGACTTTCTCGCTGGCATTTAGTCCTCCACCCCCCAAAGGAGTATTCTTTATCCTGGCGACATTCTTCTTCGCTTCCGTACCCTCATACGGATGGACCAGATGGGAAACCCTTCATTCAGATTTGCTTAGCCGACCCTACCTTTTTGGTGCATCTGCTCTCTCGTGATGCTGACTCTTCACCTGGACTAGGACCTAATATTTTTGTGTTACTCGTTGTTGTTGTCAGCCTTTTCTGTTTTCTTTTCTTGTTTCTATTTTTTTTTTTCGTTTGGTTTGATGTATATCAAACATTGGACTTGTAACTTGTGAATTTTTAGCACATTTAGGGCCTTCTTATATACAAGTTGTTCGAGGTTAACAAAATTTTAAATTATATAAAGTAATACTTGAAAAAAAACAAAACAAAAAGCAAATAAAAGTTAGATTTTAGGTAAGAAATACGTGTAAAGTACTTCATGTACATTCAAAATGTCAAAAAAAAAAAAATGAATAAATGGTTACCTATTTATGATGTATCATTCGATTTTTCATGATATAGAACTCATCAATTATTAAGTCCATGTTGATCTTTGTAGTAAACTCTCTTTCAACGTAGAGTACAGATCGAGTTGACCCAAAGTACAACCTGACTGAGCCGGATGGCCCAAAGTACAACCGACTTGACCTATGATTGCTACAGCGTCTTGTTTCGGGGAATCATCTGTGAGTACTTTAATCTTTTTGCCCTTTGATATTTTTCCTTCCATGGCTCTCTTGGAAACTACTTTTGAATGATATCATTTTTAGAATACAATCAGCCTCTTATAGCAAGTAAAAGACCGACTCTTCCGACAGACAACGCCAATTCTTTACGTCTTTTTTNCTATGCCGTGAATTTCGTTCGTCTTTGAACGAGGTTTCGACGGAAAACCTCTGACACTCAAGTCAGAACTTGCTGAACAAATATGTACGAGAATATGTAACTTAAGACATAGAATGCGATATATCGATGAAGAAGAACCTGACATCCTCATTTAGGGCAGCTGTTTTGTTGCCCTAGAGAGTTCTTGTTAGGAAAGAAATCCAACCAGATCACATTTTCTATCTTACTACGCTATATCTAGGCAAGTCTCTTTGAGCTAGTGTTACTTTTCTTCTTATTAAGATTCTTTTCCTTTTACTGTACGTCCTTATATTAGGTCCCTAGGCTATAATCTCGACCTCTTGACTTACTTGCTGTGGTTTACCCGAGATCGAACTTGACCTCAGATCTTACGACCTCGGTACTTCGAGGTCGGCTTTATTGCCGAGCTCCTGTAGGCCGGACCTTCCATGTCATTTTCTCCAGATCGGCCAATATCTCAAGCTCGCCCAGACCGGCCTACCCACACTGCCTGCTCAAGTCGGTCTATCGAACTATTCTGAGTGCTACATCAAGTCTATAGATTAGCAAATGTTTATCAATTAACTAGATGTGCTCAATGAGACTACACCCAACGAGTATGATTATGTAATTAATTACTCCGACATACAATAAAGTACCCACCAGTTATTTTCCCATAAACAGCAGCACTTAATTACGGGATCATTAATTTAATCACTAAACAATCATTAATCTCCCGACAACTAATTGTAACACGCGGAAGGATGTCGGGCCTGTAGGAAAGTCATCGTACTGCCGGCGGCCGTGCCCCCGCCGGCGGCGGGGCCCATTTCTGTGAGAGTGGTCGTCACGCGCTCGCATCGTGGGCACATCGTGAGAGTGGATGCCGTCGCCGGCGGCGGCGGGTGGCGGCCGTGGGGCCGGCCGCCGGATCTGACGGTCCTGAGCTCCTCCACCTCCTTCTGTAGCTTCCGATTTTGCTCCGTCAGCGACCCGAACCACCTTTTCAGGTACTCACACTCCATTTCTGTTTGCTTGAGCTTGCTCCTATATAATTAATTAGTTTAATTAATCGTATTAAATGCAGCAAATAAATTGAATCAGACAAATTGTTTCGTCATGTAAACTTTATGAGACAAAAGATACCAGACATGATCAGAACTTGAGGGATTTTGAACCTATGAATCTTCTATGTTTATCTATTTTGTCAATGGAGATAAAATAACAAAAATAGGTACAATTGTGAAAAATTCCTAGTAACTTGGAGTATTAACTTGGCAATATTGTCCAATAACTAAAAGTATATATTAACTAATTAAATATTGAATATTCTGCTCAAACACAAGAGTTAGTAGGTATTTTTTTATCATTTTTTTTATAATTAGTTAGTAAATACTTTTTGTAATTTTTTGCATGTTTTACCCGGGTTTTATTAATTAGTGTGTACAGTATTTTTTTGAAATCACAAAAGTTCACATCTATCTCCCTATTTTATAATTTTACCGTAAAAATATTTGCAGAGGGACATATATTATATATTATTAATAATATATTGTTACAAATTATTGTTTTGCAAATGGAAAGGATGTGGTCAGCTTTAGACTTTCTGCAACACAAGTGCTGATGTTGTGCATGCATGTACCAAATTCCTTTACTATAAATAATTCAAAAAAATTAATTGGAACATATAAATATGCATCAAAATACCATATCAACTAAATCTTATTTATTAACTAATTTCCAAAAATTACGAAACAAATTTTACCTTACAAAATGATAAAGATCAAATTAAAACAGATGGAGAAACAATGAGTAAATATATAATGACATCTTAATTAGGCAAACAAACACAATTGATCCCACTACCCATCTTTATTTCTCTTTACTAATTATACCCGACAGCCTAAATAATTTCGTCATTATAATCCTAGAGTAATTATGTTGTCTTAAGATACAATAACTAATCATGATCAATTAACTAGTCACTGATTATCTTTATGCTAATTGCAGCACTTTAGTTGAGATAGTCGTCTAAAAGCTCTCACGAGTGAAGATTTTCTTTTTCATTTTGTACTTCTTTTGGGCCATTTCTTGATTATATGTTGCCATATATATCTCAACTTGATCATCAAGCATAAATATATGAGTTATGACGGTCTACTTTTGAATTTGACCTACTAAAGATTTTCGTTCCAAAATCCTAGCTCTCTTCATAATATTTTCTAGCTAGTCCTCACTCTTTTGACTAATACCTAATCTGACCTATTAAATGAAAAAGACTCCAAATTAAGTCCAAAAGATCATCTTTAATAAAAATACATACCTTGCCCTACGATTTTGAAACCAAACCTCAACTTGCCTTTGCTTTAGGTGCAATTGCTTGGCCAAAGACTCCTTTTGTTTCTGCATGTAATTTTTAACAACTTAAATACTGTGCAATGTTGATTATACTAATTAATATACTATAGTACTAATTAATAGAGAATCGTTACGCTTTAAATCAAGATGATAAAATGAGTGATTAATGTTGATGATGCATACTGGGTTTAATGTTTGATTTTGTCTAAAGCTTTCTTCTAGAAGGCGAGACTGCTCATGGGTCAGACGAAGTTTCTTTCGTGGGCCGGGACTTGGGCCTGGGCCGGTGTTGTTCGGGCTCTCCTCTTCTTCTTCCATGGATTCTTCTTCTATAAATCTTGATGAGGGTACTTGATTCATATCCAGTTCTTTAATACCACCAATTTCCCCTATATCATGTACTTTGAAAAATAATAATAAAATAAAATAAAGACGAGGCAAAAGCTTTATCAATTGGTAATAACCATTAACCACTTTACACAAATGCAAAAAATATAATGATGTTATTACCACTTGATTGATGCTAGTTTCAATGTATTACTGAAGTACACGTATAATTAAAACCCTAATAATCATCAGCTGGGATAATAAATTCTCAACTTTCCATTATATTTGGACAAAATAAAAAGTCAAAATTTTAGCAAGATCCATATGAAAGGAGCCTAGAAAGAACCAAAGAACTTCAAAAGAAATCAAAGGGAGATCCAATCCCAAAACAATTTGTTTCTTTTACTCATAAAATAAAACCTATCTCTAACCTATTACCTATAAGTTTATTTAGCAAGAAAGAAAAAAGCTTCAGCACAAGACAATTATATAGATGTAATCACCAAGAAGTAGTGATTTAATTAACCTCAACACACACTAAATATCTTTAATTTGTTACCAGAAGATGGGATGGAAGGAGAAGAAGAGAAGCCTGGCATGGCTATGCTTAACTCCAAACAAGAATAATTATAATTAGGAAACTCTTCCATCAAGAATCTGCAAGCATGTAATGAAATAACAAAGAGAAGAGAGCTAGCTTGAAATTCAATTTATGTGTCAGACAGAAAATAGTTGTGGGGTTACATATATCTCTACCTATAGATATATAGTATTTTTGTGAGGGTGTGTGTCTGCCTAGGGATGTGTAATTATGTAATTTAAGTATATAAAAGGGAGAAAGGAAATGTGGAAATGGTTAAATGCAATAAGGTCAAAAATCAATTAAGGAAATTGCTGAAAGAGATTAATAAAGGTATAATTAGTAATTAGTACCATCAAGAATTGGGAAAAGGAGGAGGCCCACATTTTTTTTTCCTTGTTGGGTTTTGTGACATATCATTTGGTTGACTAATTAAGGATACAAATGAGATACACTATCACTCACTTCTGTTGTATGTTTCGGATCAATCATCTCAACCCATTGTTCAGATAAAAACAAGCAAAATTGTAAAATTTAGCCAGGAATTATTAAACGGAGACAATAGTAGCGACTAAATTTACTATATATAAAAAATTATCTAATAACTAATAAAAGTACGTATTTAGTATATAAAAAAAAATAGCCGGACTAGTCGAAATTTCTACGGAAATTGCACAATCAACTCTGCAAGACTTATGTGGATGTATATGTGGCAAAAACTTTTGAGCTTACCTCAATAAAATTGCGAAAAGTAGCTAGTATTTTTTGGATGGTAGCCAAAATAGTAACTGAATATTTCATAAACACACTAAATACTCATTAATTAATAAAATAATCTAATTACTAACAATAGGGGTTGGCTCAACTGATAAGCAGTTTGATACCACTTAAGCAAGGTCTTGGGTTCGAGTCCTTGTAGATGCAGAAAATCCTTGTTGGGAGACTCACCCACCACTGCCAGGTGTGCGACCCGAGTCGACCAACGGATTAGTCGGGACATAGATACCGTGACTGGCTACCAAAAAAAAAAAAAAATCTAATTACTACCCACAAATAGCGAAACTCGTCGTAGACACAACAAAATCTAATTTGATCAAGTCCTCGTCTGTTGCGGACGGTTCTCGTCGATCCGACGCCGATCCGTAAAATCAGATTGGGGGCTGCTCGGTCGTGAGGTGGTAGAGCCGCTGTGCGGTTTCGGGGCGGGACGTGGCTGGATTGCTCGGTGAATTGGTTTTCTTTGCATCTGAGGCTGTGAAGATGCTCCAGGTCACCTCCCCTGGTCTCGGTTTTCAGGTCGATGGGAGCCGGTGCTTCAATTCTTCCTCCATCGGTGTTGGTCGGGGTGTTGCAGCGGTGGTGTGGTGGTTTTTGTGCAGCTTCCAGGCGAATTGGGGTCGGTGCTGGGGTCGTGGCACTCCGTTGCCTTTTCGAAAGAAATTGGGTGTTGGGGCCTTAGTGCGGGTCGGCCTGCTTTGATTCTGGAGTTGAGGCTTCGATTCCGTTAGGCAACCAAGTGGTTTTGGCAGTTTCGGGGTTGGTGTTTCTGGCTAGGGGATTCGTGGTCGGCCTGTATCCGTTGGTCCGATTAGGTATTGCAACTTAGGAAGGGCTCGTTTATTATATTATGTTTTTTGGCAGTTTAGTTTGTGTTTTTTGATTTATTCGTAGTTCACTAGTTGTGTGTTGTTTTTCTGTGTTTTTGGTCTGGGCTGTTGGCCTCAGTGAGTCCGAGTGTCAACTTTATTACCCTGTTGGGGCCCGACACTCGGGTATTACCCTGTTGGGGTCTTTGTGTTGTTTTTTTTAGTGTTCTTTCAGTGTTTTATTGTGTTCTAGAGTATTACCCCATTAGGGTCGGTTCTAGGCAGTCTTCTGATTGTCCTCCGAGTTTTATCAGTCGGTTGTACTATTCAGCCTTTGGCTGCTTTTCTTCGCACTTTGTGCGGTTCTATTTATAATACCTCTATCGTTTTGAAAAAAAAAAAACTTCAATTAGGTTTATGTAAACGAAAATGTGGTAAAAAAATGGACAACTCACCACAGACATAGTGGTAAATGGGACGAAGTCATATTTCATTTGAGGGACATTAAAAATTCAAATAAAATAGATCTAGAATTTCTTGAAGAATTCAAAACTCGGTCATCAGTGTTCTACTTCAAGTATTCTTTGCCAAAAGTTACTTGATTTCATGGTTTGTTTTTGTCATATATTACGATAAAAAAACAAAAAAAAAACAAAATTTTCAGCTTTCCTTCGATTTAATTTAGCACATGTATGAATTTTTCGTTTGGTTCGCATCCCATCAGTTGTTCATTTTCATATTTATTTTCATCTCGCACCATTTTCAAATTATTTAAGTGGCCAGTTACAATTTGTTTTGTGTTTTTGTTACTGCAGTTTTTCCGTTGCATTTTTTACAAGTTCGATTACTTTTATATAATAATTGCATAGCTTCATTAGTTACTAATATTTACTGCATTTATACAAGTTAGTGACTACTAGTGCCAATGTTCAGAACATATTAATTATTTTTTGCAATTTTTCTATGTGTGTGTGAGTGTGTGTGTGTGTTTTTTTTAATCAAATAAATTATATTAATAACTTAAACCAAAAAAATCGTTAACCAACTGGTTAATACAAATCTCATAACAAAGTTGTTTAAGACAAGAATACTAGGGGAAGTTAAGTCATTGTTCTCTCTTTAAAGTCAACTTGGCCAGCAAAAGAGAAGCACTAAAAGAACCAGAAGAAGCAAAAAAACCACAATGATCAAAGCTAGTTTTCAACATACAAATATCAACACCAAGTCTAAACCTTGATCAAGAGGCATGATGCCATTTAAACAAGAAACCACAGCAGCTGAATCCAAGTAACAGTTAATCTTTTTCCATCCTTCTTTTTGTGCCACTTCAAGAGCCCACCTAACAGCTAAAAAGGTTGTTGCCTCTTTATCCTCAAACCAATTCCCAGAATGCTTCCATTCAAGTGAGACTTTTCCTTTAGACTAGTAAAGTGCACGTGCGATGCACGTGGTGACAAATGTTTTTTGCCGATTAATTTTAGTAAGATGAATTAATTAATTTATTAAACATATTTGCAGTAAGAAAAAATAAAATGTAGATTAAATAAACTCTTAATTATTTTTTTTTTCAAAAATAATATAATGATGTCACAATATAAAAAAATTTAAATAATATATTACAACCTCAACAAAAATATATGAAAATGAATCCATAATAAAAAAAACACTAAATAAGGACCTAATGTATATTATAGATGTACGAGTACTTTTATTTATTTATGTAGATTCAAGAGTGATTTTCTTTCATTCTAATTTGATGTTCTCATAAGAAACATTTATACTCGTTATATTCCAATACATCAATAGTATTGTTAATTTTTTCTTAATTAATTTGGTAAAACGTGTGTTTTATTCAACACTTAGAGATACTTTAGCCAAACATATAGTCAAACTTCATGATTGTATGATCATTATAAAGTATATTTACTAACAGTTCATAAATATATCTGTGATATAACCAACTGTATCATTAGAGTTCTTGATACTTGATTCATTAAAATTCTTGATATTTTTTTTAATCATTGTATAAAATACTATATTACTCTCTCTCTCTCTCTCTCTCTCTCTCCATATAACAAATCAGTACTTACTCCACGGGGTAAGAACGAATTTAATCTCTAAATAAAATTTTGATTTTCCAAAATCATGTACTTCTCCGAAGTTGCTAAATTATTTTTTAAAATTATCACACATCACATTAAAATACGTATTCTAAAATAATTATACATATGATCGAGCACAATACACAATTAAGATAGAGAAATTGGTACTTACTCCATGGGGTGGAAACGAATTTAATCTCTAAATAAAAGTTAATGTTTCAAAATCATGTACTTCTTCGAAGTCGCTAAATTATTTTTTAAAATTATCACACATCACATAAAAATACGTATTCTAAAGTAATTTCACATATGATCGAGCCTAATACACAATTAAGATTGTAAATATTCTATCAAAAGTGAACTTATTCAAAAATAATTTAATCATAATCAAACATTCCCTTTTCAATGTTATTTGTTTGGACGATAGATGAACTACATAACCTATTATTTGCAATTTGCATATCATTGAACATTTTGGTTGTTGCAATGATTTTAGAGTTGTTTATCATAAAACATTTCACATTCGTTTGGATTACTTGCAATATTTATGTGTCTAATAATTTATTTAATGCATTTATTGTCCACTTTTTGTATCATAACTAATGCTTCAAAAATTCAAGATAATGATCATTTCTTGATTCTTCAATAATAACAAAACAAAACAAAACAATGAGACAATATTGAGACGCATATTATCTGTTAAAATATTTTAGATGAGAAGAATTTGAATTCTATTATATTATGATACTCTTAGTCATTTGTTAATTTTACTATTATGAAGTCATTATTAAAATTTCTGGTTTATATTATTATAATATCGAATCACTATTTATGAAAACCAATTTCTTATAGATAACATATATTTAAATGCTAGCAACAAAAAAGAAGTAATTTTCAAAGATTTTTGTTTCTTAATATTGGTATTCATACTTTTCTAAAAAAGTTCTGACTGTTTCTTTTCTCCATTGCATTACTATTTGTTTTATTTGTTTTTTATTTTATTCACAAATAATATTTTATTTGTTGAAAAAATTAGAGCACATTTATACACATTGAGTTTTATTTTTTTTTTATATAGTAATCATATATTTGATAAAAATGTACTTTTATATTGTTTATAAGATTAAAAAGTTTTTGGATTTTTTTTTTCCATTGATGATAAACTCCTAAGTAACTAATTTATTTTCATATCCACAAAAAAATATATTTTTAAAACCATTATGGTGTTCTCTTTCAAGCAATAATTGCATAATAGTTTAACATACAACTCATTTATTTTTTCTTTTAATTCATATAATTAATATTGGTAATAGATGTACGTTTACATCCAATTACATTTTTTTCTTATTATTGAATATTTCAAATCTATGTAAGAAAAATATACCACAAGTTTATCCAATATTATTTTATAATTAATAAAATTGAGTTAACATGGATCTATAAATTGGTATATATTATTTTAAATTGGTATATGTATATATATATATATTTTATTTACAATACATTGGTCAAATCAAACATC